ATCTAGGTAAATTGTCTGATATTCGTGGTATAAGATGACCATCTGGGACCCATATGAATAAAATTTTAAATGATTATATTTATAAGCTCTTTGCATCAGAAGTTTATGATCATAGTAATTTTGAAGGGTTTTAATTATGTATGTGGGTGTCTTGTTTTTAATCTATAAGGAGAAATAAAGATTTTATGGCATCTCAAATATTTTGTTGCTTAACAACCCAAAAATACTGTATAATATATGTTATTGAAAAATAATGTTTGCATGTTATACTAAATGTTGTAATTTAACACCACAATGATAATGAATTTTAATTAGAAATATAGACTGTATATTATCCTAAATGTTGTTAATTAATGTTACTTAGAGAAATAATGATTGGTACGAATGTACTCATAGCTCTACAAATCAAGAACAAAAGATTTCTTTATGTTACTTGTTACTTTTGCATGTTGCTTTAATGGGAAATCAATCTCTTGAATATTGCATTTTAATGGGAAATCAATCTCTTGAATATTGCATTTTAATGGGAAATCAATCTCTTGAATATTGCATTTTAATGGGAAATCAGGAAATGAAAGTTTTATAACATTTATAACTGTAGTACAGTATTATAATGTGAATTATTTTAACTAGAAATATTTACATCAGAAGTTACCATACCAAGGTAGTTATTAGTCTACCACAATCCATGGCACAAGCATAATAGCTTATTTACTAGTGCCAATGCATCACAGAATTTAAAGTTAGATTTTTGTAACTGTTATATTAGACGACAACCTATTTTGGGGGTTCATTTTTAAGATTTAAAGATAATCTTATACATGGAAATATGCAGTATTTAAGTTAAAAAGTTCAAAACCTTAACTGATTTAAATTATCAAATCAATTTGTATTATTTGGGTAAATTCTCTTTCAATATGAATAATTTAAAATTCATGAGAAATTCGTTATAATAAAAGAAGACCTTCCAACAATACAGAATTAAAAGTTGATCAACAATAAATAAAAAAGCAATGCCTTTTTTTATCAACCTAATCTTATACATTTATTAAAAACTATTCAAAGTTATAGTACAAAGAGAATACAAGATTAACATTCAAATTCTAGTAAAATCTACATGTTAAAAGAGAAAGAGGAAAAAAATTAGTAAAATAGAGGTTAAAGCACAGGATGCCAGTGACAAAATCTTTTCAAGAACACTTTAGTTCAAGGATTGAAATAATTTGATAAAAAGATTCAACAATTAATTGTTTCTATTTTTAGCTATGAAGGAGTCATGGTGTCAGAGCTTTAAATAGTTTAAAAAATAATAGAAACTTGAAGTGATTACTATTAATAAAATTATCAGGAACTTAGAGATGTAAGTAGAGTTAGAAAAAATCTAATAAATTCTTACATGAAATTTATAAAGATTCTCTTTTAAAATAGGTTTCTTCTTCTTTTATGTGCTGTGTCCCTTCAAGACATTGGATATGACTCTCCATAGTTTCCTGTCTCTACAAAGGACAAATAATAATAATAAATTTTGTCTTTTTGCTATTTCTCCATCTGCCATCTCTGTTCTGCCATCCATTTGCTCAAGCCTGCTAGGTAGGTTAGGAGTTGTTTTCCTCTGTCCTTGCCTTCAATATGTTCCATAAGTATCAAATTTTCCAAGTCCTCTTTCCTCATTGTGTTTCCTAGAAATTCCAATGATCTCTTTCTGATGTTAAGTATAAGCGCCCTTTTTGTTGCTATTTTCTTAGCATTCTTCTTTAGAAATACATTTCTGTTGCTTCAAGTCTCTTCTTCACCTGTTTGTTGTTCACTGCCATATAGGAGAATTGATACTACACAACAGTTCAGCACTCTTTTCTTTGTTTCTAACCAAATTTTGCTGTTTTTTAATACTTTGCTTAGCTTTTGGAAAGCATCTTTCGCTATGCCAATGCTCCTGATTTGTGTCACATTTTCTGTCTTCTGTTAAAACACTTCCCAGACATTTAATTTGTTGTACTTGTTTGATTTTAGTATCTCCAATTTGCAATTTGCATGTTGGAGATACTAATACTTTTCTGGACAACCATGGCTTCTAGCTTCTTACAACTCATCTTTAGTCCTTTCTCCTTGCTTTCCTTCTCTACCTTCTGTAGGAGTTCTTGTAGTTTCCTTTGTGTCTGCTATCAACACTGTGGCATCTTCATAGCTTATGTTGTTACTGTAGCCACCAATAAGGAATCCTAGTAGTACTTCTAATTCTCTCAGAACTAACTTACTGTATGGATTGAAGAAGTCTGATGAGAAGACACATCCTTGTTTTACAACCATTTATATTTTTGTATATTTACTGAATTCATTTTCTATTCATATGTAGACAGTTTGCTATCAGTATAGGTTTTGGATTATTCTCTGTAAAAATATACAAAAATAAACTGTATAAACAGAATATTATCTTACATTCTCCAGACTCAATTATTTTCTAACCTTAAACAACCATACGAGGTCTGTCTGAAAAGTAATGAGACTGGGTGGACTGTGTGAGCTCTGGGTAAAAGAGTGATAAGCGGATTGTGTTATCATCTAACATAATATCTTTTGGTTATTTACACTATTTATATTTGGACTATTGTTCTCATTTTTGTTGTTATAATCACAACCTTTCAATCGTTATGTCCTCTGGTCTTCAACAGGTATACATTGATCTGCATAACTTACAGGGAATCGATCTGCATAACCTAGAGGGAATTCAGAACTGAACTCTTTTTATTAATCTATGGGGATAGACTTTTCTTGTTCCACTTCTCATGTTTAGAGATATTGTCTAGTTCTTTGACAGGTTATTTAAAGCCAGAAAATATTTTTGGATTGTAAGAATTTTGGGAAGGATAACAATGATTTACTGATGCATGTTCTACTAATTAACAGGAGAGAAGAGCTGGATTCATACCTTTCTCAAGGGTATTTATATGTAAGTGAATATAACAAACCCAACTGGAATTGGAACTCAGCTCACTGATTTCCAGGTCAGAGATGTTATCTATTACACCACCTGCACATCCAAGTTTACAGCACCTGGTATTCCCAAGTGGCTACCCATCTAGGTAGTGACCAGGCTTGACATTGCTTAACATTAGTGATTGGGCAAGAACTTGTATTATAACCTGATATAACTGTAAGCCATTTCTGTGTGTGTGTGTGTGTGTTTCTCCTAAACAGTCCCCCATTCTAGGCATTGAGTTGGTTTGACATTACTTCATTGATCATATAAGAGCCAGTTTTTCAATGTGATATGGTCATAAATCTCTGTAAGTATAGAATTCTTGTAGAGAGATTTTGCAAAGACTGAAACAGCTTTTATTTCATAATTGTTTAACATTTATTGGTATTGCCTAACCTACCTCAAAATCAGTTGTTTGACAAGGAGGTGGTATTGCTTCAGAATGTTATTTACAACTATATTTTATATTTATAAACAGAAAGTTTTCTAAAAGAAATGGATGTGCCTTCAACATCCTTACAGGGTGCGATGGATAAAAATTGTCAGAATTTTATATTTTTACTTTTGAGCATATGTGTTGCTTTTTTATTTATTTTGTCAACTACACAGTATAGTAGGGTCAGTTGAGCACTGTCTACAAGAAAAAGAGCACCATGCTGTACTGATTGGCATTTGTGCTAGAAGGTACAATACAAACATTTCAGAGTGTTTCGGTGTCAATCTGAGGTCTGTGCAGAGGATTCAGAAAGAGTTGGATGAGTCTAATGATGATTATGAAAGCGGTTGAAGTGATCACTAGTGATGGCGACATTATACTGCCATTCATCTTCCCACAGAACTTCATACTCAACATGGTTGCCTACACCAAACACCAAACACTTTGATCTGGGTCAAGAGGATAGATTCTGAAAGACCCTATGTCTGGCAACAGGACTCAGCATCATGCCACACAAGAAGGAAATCCAATCATGGTTCTCAAACAACTTCTGCAACCACATCACCACTTACATCTGGCCACCTAATCCCCCAGACTGCAACCCCCTTGATTATTATGTGTTGAGTGGGAGACCAACAAAACTCCTTGTAACACAAGAGTTGAACTGAAGGCAAGGATTATGGTAGCATTGACCAACTAATCAAGGAGACCATCCAGAAGAACTGCAGGAGGTTCCAAAGTCATATGGAGGCCATGGTTGAAGCCAATAGCAATTTTATTGAATAAATTTACTCTTTAGTATTTCAAGATATTTTTGAGTAATTTTCGTAAATATATTTGTTAAAATAAGATGTTAGTGTTTTCAGGTTTGTGAAATTTAGACGACAATTTATCCATCGCACCCTGTATATGTCTCATCAACAATTGTGTTGGAATGTATATGCATGAAGCTATTTTCAAAAATATATTCTTGATTAAATATTTAAATGTAATATATTTCAGGTCAATTTTATGCTAAGATCCACAAGAGAACTTCAGATTCATCCGGAGAACTTCACAATTCGGTCACCTTTATTATTCTGAGAAAAGATTAGTCAAAAAACAAAACAAAACAAAAAAAAAATCAATTTCTAAGCATAATGAAAGACAGACAGGGAAGTTGAATAGGAAACAATTGAAGATACTTGTTAGAAACAATTGTTTGTTATTATTTTTGCAATTTCTTTAACATCCTTTTATCATGAATAAGCCATTATAATCTCATGAAATTACACCTTCTGTATGTACTTACTAAAGACCTGTTCATTCACTTGGAATTTGCGCTAAAGCTAATCATTTTAGCAATAAGGCAAATGAAGAAAGCAATATCTTTAAAGGATAGCCATGCAACCTGCCTGTATGATTTTGTATTGATGTAGATGCATGCATACATGCAAATATTCATGTGTGTATGCGGTGATGTGAAGAAACATCTGTGTGGATGTTAGTGAATGGGCACTAGATTAACAGTAGCAGTAAAAGGGGAAATATTTTCATTTACTGGATAAATCTCTGATGCAGTGAACACCATGCACAAGAGACTGTTACCTGCACATCTTTGGGCTGTTACCGCCAAGGAAGTCTGAGTGAGGTTTCGTAGGAGTGGTGGGTGTGGTTGGATTGGAGGAGGAAGCAATGGCATCAAAGAGGAATGCGTTGAACTGCATGTCTCTGGAATGGTAGAAAGTACATGCTACACATAGACAACAATGACAACAACCCACAAAAGACAGTGACAAACTCTGCATGTGGCAGTGACAATAGGAAAGAAGTGTGTTGGAAAAAAAAAATGCAAGAAGGTTAAAGGAAAAAAAAAATGGAAGAATAACAATTTCTTTTTTTCTTTCTATAACCTTCTTCCATTTTTTATTCTTTTTTTCCTTTAACCTTCTTTCATTTCTTTTTAAGGAAGGTTAAAAGAAAAAAATAAAATGGAAGAAGGTTAAAGGAAAAAAAAAAAAAAAAAAAAAAAAGGAAAAATTAGAAAAAAATAAGTAGAAAAATTTGGTAGAAAGAGTAAGGTCAAACAATATAAGGTGAGAAAGAAAATTCAAGAAATTAAAGTTAAATCAGGTACAAACAAAACAAAACTTTAAAGAGAGAAAAAAAAATTTCCTGGAGCACTTGAAAAGCAAATCTACTTGCTAACAACAGACATGCTGGAAAGTTTCTGCAGAAAACCTTTAAAATATTTGTATCTACAAAGTAAAGTGAATAAAAATTATTAGAAAGCTTGTTTATTTTCAATATACAATTTTCAAAGTTTCTGAAATAATTGGATATGAAGAACCAGGCTGGTGCAAGGGTCTCATGGGGCCCCACCGAACCTATGATACGGGGACCCCTACTCTACTATAAATGGTTTGTTATTTTGAACAATACATTTTACATTATATAATTTATTAAAAACTATACTCATTATCAGTGCCGGTGCAAGGGACTTTTGTATCTCACTATGATATGCTCCCCACAACTCTCCTACATTTCAATATATATATATATATATATATATATATATATATATATATATATATATATATATATATGAATTATATAGTTAGTGGTATTATTCATTTTAATTCCAGATCTATAAAGATTACACATGGGTCATTTGAAAGATATAACTCCAAAAGAGAAACAAAATTAACTGATAAGATCATAAGGTAGTATTCATATAAAATCCAAATTTTATTGTAACCTAATTATGTACAATAATGAATCATATTCAATATAGGTGAACAATTCAACTAGAAAAATTAAAAATAAATACAATGTATCTAAATACAAATTAAAGATACATCATAAAAATCATTCATCTTAAATGAATCAACAATGTTTGGTGGCAATTTTTAACATTTTTTGTTGTTAAAAAGTTGAATAATTTTAACACATTCAACATTATGGATAAAAAAATACTAAATTTTATATAGTGTTTTTTCAAGAGCATGAGCAAAACAAATTCATGGTTTTAGTTAAAATAAAAAAAATAACACCAGAATGACATCAAAATTTGCAAAAATTTTTGATCCTTTAATAGTTAGTTGTGCTTCATTTAATTTGTAACATATATAAATCTAAGTAGAAATAAAGCAAATGTTGAAAAGCACTGTCCAGTGCCTGGTAAGGGGATTTGGTACGTGCCGGCCCTGATCAAGAACAAATCATTTTCAAATAAAAACAAACAAAAAAGGACAGCAGGAACATTTGTGTAATAATAAATTCAAATTAATTTTAATCAAAAAAATAATTAATAAAATAACCATCTTGTCTTTTTAGTAGAAATCTTGATAACACTATATTTTTGTAGATACCTTATTTTTTAAGTTATCTCTTTAAAGACACTTACACAGTACAACATTGATCAAACCATGCATTTTGAAGAAATATAAACACTAGCAAAGACAATGATCGATAATAAGTGATTGGTTGATTTTGTTTAACGACATCTCAACCTCTATGGCTTATTTCAGTGATCCTCAACTGCCGAGCCATGCAATCCTCTTAAGCGTGCCCTGAAAGTATGATTGGATTTGAAATCCCTTCATAAATGTTACTTCTAATATTAGACTTCAATTATGTATAGAAGAATTGGCCACCATTTCTAGTGATCAAGGGCTCAAAATAAAATATTCAAGGGTACCCAATGATTTGGGATTTCAATAATAAACAAATAGCTAAAAAGACTTTATCAGATTTCTTGCTTCTTATTTAGGTGAATTAAGCTTCTTAACCCTAAATAACATAAAAAATAAGAAGTGAGAAAGACTACGCTCAACTGAAGAAAAAATCTTGAAAAAATGTCAGGCATAGGTTTCACACTAAATAAGCTGCACAAATAGAATAGATACACTGAAATAAAATAAGTTCATATTTGTGTGTGTATTTTTTTTTAAATCTATGGTTTTATTTCATAACATTTAAATGCATACCCTATAAAAATTTTGCTACATGTGCTGTGATATTTTCATTTGTTCCTAGGTGTGCCATTGATTAAAACGATTGAGAAACACTGGGTTATTTAATGCCAAAATCAAAATATTTTGTATGCCATTTTATGCTTTCAACTACAGATATTTTGTATATAATTTTATACTTATGTCTTTATAGATATATAGTTTGTAGATGATAAAATGTATTGTTGGTAATTTTTTTAATAAAATGTATTGCTGGTATCTGTCTATATTTCTGAGATTGTAACTATTTACATTGTTTGGATTATTGTTCTCATCTTTATTATCATATTCACAATGTTTTGGCTGTTGTATGCTCCATCCTTCTTCGAACCAAATCCTTTATTTCATCCACCAGCATGTCCCAGTTCCACGTGACATGCTTTTTCTGGATATCTCAATTTAAGTTATTTCCCTTTAGTACTTAACTCTTCTAGTTTTTGTTCACCTCTGCTGTGGCCAAGTATTGAACTCACAACTCTTTTGGTCAAGTCAATGAATTACCAATGTCATATGCGTACATTCGCCAAAACATTGTGAATATGACAATAAGGATGAAGACAATAGTCTGGACAATGTAAATAGTGTAAATAGTATTGCTGTTAATTTTACTCTAAAAATGTATTTTTATACTTTTTTAGTGTTGTATTGTCATTCTGTTATAAAAATGTATTGTTGGTCATTTTATTATCAAATGTATTGTAAATACATTTTGTTATAAAATGTATTGCTAGTCATATAAGTAAGAGAACTTACATGAATAAAAATGCAATATAAACATTCTTTGCTTACATAAAAATAAAATAAAAAGCCTAAAGATAAAGTTACATAAAAATAAGTAAGTGGACAATGTCAAAAATATTATTCATCTTCAATTTTTCTAAGCCTGTTATTTCCTATCCCTAAATTCATCAACAACCAGTTAGAGAAACAGAGGTTTCTGTATAAAAATCAAAAAGAAAAAAAATCATTCTCACTACACTCATCTACAGTATTAACCTATACCTAATCGTTCCTTTCTGACATCTCATGAACCATCTATAATCTTCTGTCTTCACCTTTAATGCTCATGAAATTGAATAATTTTCTGCTCCACCCAGATTAGGAATTTCTATCACTCCTGTCCAATTGTGGCCTGAAGCAAATGACAGTATCCCCACCGTGGAACACACCCAATAGAAGACCTTTAACTGGAAACACATAATTACATGCTTTACAAATGTTCTTGCTCAAAACCTTATCTTCCCACTTCAATAGTAGATTAGCTCTAAAACAAATCATTTGTCAAGAGGTCTGCTTTGATGTCCAAACTAACTATTCAAAAAATATTTTGGCACTGGAATAGTTTCTCTGACTGGAACTTTCCATTTAGTATAAACATTTTACACACAGAAGAAGCTAAGTCAAATTTAAAAATTTTTTTTTAATCATTTCAGCCCAAGCAAGGCAATAACGCCACTAAGATGCAAGGGGTTGCTGAGAGTAAAAGAGAAAGAGAAGACTTTAGTGAGAAGAAAAAATAATAAAATAACAGAAGATGGTGATTGGTGTTGCATTTAAATTTTTGTAGATTGTAGGTAGCAGGGAATCAAGAAACAGGAAGAGATTTCAACAGGTGAGAAAAGAAACTATTAAAATAGAATTTGAAGTTACATCTAGCTGGTTCAGCAGTAAAAGAGTGAGACCTAGTTGCCAATCTAGTAGTATGCTTAAATTCCATGTGGTTGAGGTACTAAGGAGTAAAGCTCATCAGAATAATTACCTTGAAAATATTTAAAGAAAAGACAGAGGGAAGCCATGTCACTGTGGTGGGAACGTAAATGAAGTTGAAATGCCAAGTCAGGATCAATTACATTGGAGCTCTTTCTTTGGATTTTGTCCAAAATTATGCAAATTGTATTTTTTTAGCAAATAGAGTTCCCAAAATATACTGATTTCTCTTTCACCAAAATTAATTCACAATATTTGATAAAGATTTAATTTATGTACATCTTAATAAGTAAAATATTTATCTCATTTATTTTTATTTACTTTGAATAAATATGAACTTAATTTCTTTGGAAAATTTAATGCTTAATTTTTTTTTTTGTGGAGGGATGCCTATTTACAATATAATTGTAATGATAAACTCGTACCTTACTTTTTGTATTTTTTATGAAAATAGATTTTTCTCTTTAGTTAATAATGTACACTACACAATTCTTAAGTATGGAAATCTTAGAAAATTTTGATGTAATTATCATGATGAGTTTTCCTCTTTGGGACCTTGACTTTACAGATTTAAGCACAGTACTAAATTGGCAGCTAGGTCCCTTTTTTTTTACAGTTGAAATTGCTAGATGTAACTGTATGTTCTATGCTAGAAGTTTCTTCTCTTGCATGTGAAACTCTCTTCCAGCCTTTTGCCTTGCTGTCACCTTTAATCTTCAAAGATTTAAATGTAATGCCAATCATTATCTTTTATATCCATAATCCCTTTTATTTTATCATCCTTTCTCCTTAATGTTTTTTCTCAGAGTCTTTCACACTCAGTAATCACTTGCACCTTGATTGGGGTGAAATGAAATTAAAAAAAAAAAAAGAAAAAAGAAGTATTTTTTCTCTGCTACTAATAATTCATTTTATGGTGAAGACTAACCCTAGGTTATTGACTGAATAAAATAAAATAATTTTTTTTTTACTTTTTAGACTTTAAAATTACTGAAATATTTGCATAAATGT